AACTTTATTTTCACTTGATTAGAACCTGATCAGACTCACTGAATGTAACTATGCGCTGCATCTCTTCAGAAGCTCTGCAGACTGACGGCATGGTACCATTTGCTTCCACATCTGTCTAGTTTGTCCCCAGTCTTGCTTATTGTGCTTTTAGGTGGAATGAAATCATCCCCAAATTCTGGAGATGAGGTTTCTTGTAGTTTTCCTGCAGCTAAATAAATCCAGAGGAAACCAAAGTATTCATGTTGACAGACCAGCATCATGTATTTACATCATTAGATGGAGAACAGTCAGAAACACACACATTTCCTGGGACACTGTGGTGGTTTCTTAACACTCCCAGTTGAGCCTTTGCCTCCAGCTATTCATTAGAAGGAATTCCGAAGCCTAGACCACAAAGCGGGGTCAAAGGTCAGCAGTTTGTTAAGAGTGGGGATACTTGTTGCATCAGGACTTTATGGTGTATATGTTTCCACTCACTGCCATTACTGTGTTTTACCAGCTTCTTTTTTTTTTTAAATAAGTTTTGTTTGCTTCTGTTCTCCTTTTCCAGCAACGTTCCCCTGGCAAAGTGCTTTTTGACCTGGTGTGTGCCCATCTCAACCTGACAGAGGGGGACTATTTTGGACTGGAGTACCAGGACCAGAGGAAGATGACGGTGAGACATGCATGTTTAAAAAACTCAGGCATAACAGTATCAACAGATTATTCTGTTCTTATTTTTCCAGATCAACATTTGCAAAAGCTCCAAATAAAGAGGCGGGGTACACCCTGGACACGTTGCCAGTCTATCACAGTATGCGTTGTGGTTAACTGGTGGGAGAAGCTCAAGCTTGTTGGTAAACAAGACTAGAACCATGTCTCAGAAGAAAAGCTTAAATATAAGAGCAGAGTTTCATATCTAAATGGGTCACAGTTTAACTGTTGCATGACATGCAGATGTCTTTTATTGATTTTTAAATGCTCAGAAATGTTTCTGTCACTTCTTTGCATTTAAATACCAATGTTAATGTGGTTGAAATCATCACTGAAAGTCATGCCAGTTGATTTTCTGACAGTCTAGGCTATATACTGTATATATTAAAGAAAGAAAGCAAGACAACAGCTGCACTGAAGAGTTGACTGACAAACTCCGTAGTCGGATACAGCCCTAAAACGAATACACGTTTACACTTTTTCTGCAGTATTTCTCAAACTAGCTTCAGTATTTGTAAAATACAGATAACTAATTGCCTCAGCCTGCAGAAGCTTAAGGGAAACTTTTAGCTGAATTTTTACCAATTTGTTGTGTGATTGATGTACACAGATCTACATTTAAAATGTTGTTTAGTATATTCAGAGGGTTTTCCTCTGTGTGGTTAGGATGATCTCCTCTACTTCGCCAAGTGCTCAAGGCAAGCGTTTCTTCTCTCTTTACCACAAGTTAACTTTAGCTCTAATCACATGGGTGCATTCTAAGGTTGTGATGAGTCATGTGTACTGGAAGTGCTTCATATACCACACTGGATCTCTGCAAGAAACTTCCTTTTCGCCTATCATTCTTTCACCTACATGCAAGTCGAATTAAGACACCACAGCTTTCACAATTTACATAACAGTTTTTCCGTCTCGAGCAGCTGGTTCTAATTATTTTCACACTTGATGTAAATGCCAGAGGGGATGGATGTAGTTTGCAGATGCTGTTCTGGCTACTAGTAGAATCTCCATCACTGTGTGAAAACGTAGCTGGAGGACAACAGTCAGTCTGGAGCTCTAACAGAAAGAAGACAGATGGACCACTCATCAGTCAATATGTACATATGAAATGTGTCGGTGTGCTCAAACACAGACACGTGCTGGTCATTTTAGTGCATAAGAACAGTTGTTTTGAAGTGGCCCAGTGGGACAAATTATGTAATGGTCAAGAAATAACAACAGCATTGTCAGTACACATACACAGGAAGATACACACAGTATGTGAAACTATACATCAAGTAGAGGTCAGCAACTGAGTGTTTAGTATTTAGTTTATGTTTGCTGGTGTGAATTTTCTAGATAACCTGGATCCAAAATATACTACATTACATGTTGGAAGCCTTTACATGCAGATGGGCAGGATGGGATTTTATGTGCTGGCAGTGTTTGCATTACAACCCTGTCACTGTGATTCATAAAGAACTTGCTCACATTGCATTTCAAAGTTTCATGTGTTCAGTGATACACCAACAAAAATACAGCAAATCAAGATTGTATTGTCATTTTTTACCTTTATGAATGATTTGGAGAACAAAGGCTTACGGAGTAACGGCTATAATGATATTTGATGTTGTGGTTTTTATGTGGTTGTTATTTATCACAGTTATTAGTCTTGGTAATTTCAGGAAACAGATACTGTCATAGGTATTGTCACATGTGGAACAAATACATGAAATTATTGCAGTTTCAATATTACTAATATGTCAGTATCCTACAACTGATATTTATGGAAACGGCCACAAGGTTAGCTATTGATCTACAGTTTTAAACTAGCTCTTTACAGAAGGACCACTGCAGAGCAGTTGGAGAAATCCCTCAAGCGTCAGTGTCTGAGGTAATGATGGTTATGTTTTGCTCTGTCCTCCGCAGGTGTGGCTGGATCGGCTGAAGCCGGCACTGAAACAGATCAGACGCAAGGA